GAGCGTGGTCGTGCAGGAAGGATGAGGCAGGACAGATGCTCTGTATGTTCGCCTCACCGTAACCTAATAAATACTCGCCTACGGCTTGTGCTTGGACAGTTCCGTATGCACCCGGTGGCCGTCCTGATAGCACAAGTTCGGAATGCCACTTGTTGTACTTACTTTGGCAGTATGTTTGTCGCGCAGATACTTATCACTGTGGTTCGCTGACTCTGATGAATTCCTTGTGTCAGCATAGGATGGGATTTGCTTTGTGGCCGTCTAATTGCTTTTCAGACAATTTTTAGTAGGCAACATAAATTTGCGGGTTGAAGGTGCAGATGTTGCTGTTATGTTTGGATGGCTGAAAGCAGCTGTGTTCGATAAAAAAAACAAGCTTTTAATTTGTCTATAAAGCACGGTGATATACGTGTCAAGTTTTCGGAAATTGCAACTACCTTTTCTTTGATTTAAACTGAATAATGCGTTAACCACGGCGTTATTATGATTTTGTGTAGCGAAACCAATACCCACTGATTTAATCTGCGGTGTCATTTTGGCCTCCCTCGTCGTCATCGCTGCAGTCACCTTTGTTGTTTTCTGGGTGAGACGTAGGAGAGCCGTCAGGTAATTTGCATGCATTTACCTATAAATATTTGAAAATCTATGTTTTCGACAGTTTGGATTATGTGTTTTATTCAGACAGAATAGTATTAACTAAAATGTCATTGAGGACTGAAATGATCATTTTTTGGTTTTGTACCTCTCATCAGTCAACCATACACAGCCCCAAGTTTTGCAACTGCCGAGCTCCTTACTTGCAAAATGTTGGCTGGAGGTCCAACGCCCTAAACCCTGAGCCACAGGCCCGTTGTCCTGTTGATTGCGATCTGGTACATAAGCAGTGAACGTGTAGTGCTATTTGGTCGCACTACCAGACACACTCATGCATTACAACTCAATTGAAAGACCCGCGGATGACGGGTTCCGTGTCCAGGTGCTACAACGTCCTCGGTTGTTTGTACATGGCTGATGACAAAAAAACAGAAATCTAAATTCCAGTCTCCGTTGTCTATTTCGGTAATATTGTTCAAGTAGCTGGTCTGTGACTACTAACTGGACTCTGTATTACTCCTGAAGCATAATGTGATTACTATGTCCTTTAATGCAGTCGGTGAGCACACCGTTACTGTTGTTTTAATTCATCCAGACCGTCTCACTTAAGGTGCCTTACAAAAACCTGGCACATTGCTACGCGCCTAAAAACGCGTTGGTACCATACTTTTCTTCACCTTCATTTAAAACTCGATGCCCAGTCTGTGACTTAGTAGCTGCACCGTTTTTACAGTAGCAACAGCAGCAAGTGTTCCATGTTTAGCATCAACGGTGGTTAGCGCAGTCACTTTACAGTCTGCGTTCCCTTTCTTTAACAGTTCTACATCCGACGAAGTGGACAACGAACAGAGAGTCGAAGTGATATACGAATCCACCTCTCAGCTCAAATTGGACCGATCAAAAATGTAAGTCAAGTTTTCAGCTGCTGGATTATGTATAACATTTTAAAGAGCTGCACGTGGTTATTTCAGACGTATAAATACTTTAAGTTTTAGTCTTAGCAAATACTGCATCCGATGTGCCACGTTGGTTTGCAAAACAGAAATGTAAAAGTTTTTCGAAAGAAATGAATGTTCGTGTTCCAGGAAGCAGTTCAGAACGGTCTCGTTGCAAGGTAAGACTATAATGACAGGGGAGGAAGAAACGAAATTGCTCTGGCAACCGATTTCGGGCACTTGATCGTTTATGTTGCTAAGGCGCGTTCCACACACTCGAATCTCACATCTGCATAGCTTGATACGAGAACAAGACGTTGATAGTAAACCATCGTAGTCGAGCACTGGTAGTTGGAGATATATCAAACTTAACATAAAAATAGCGGATTGGGAGGTGAGGACAGGCGGCAGTGGCGCTGGCGCTGTGTGCGTTCTATTCAGTCCGGCAATTTGCATTTTAATGCTCTGCATTCACACTGTGCGTTGAACTGGAATTTTAGCCTAGATGCGTAGCTAATACTGACTGTCCGTTCGTAGTTTCCATCTGTTATGTGGTTATTGCGTTGAGGTTACTGGACTTTGAGTCAGGTATTAGGATCCACTTTTAGTGAAATCCTAAAAGTACGGTCATTTTGGTTTAAGACCACCTTTCTCTTTCCTTCTATTCCTAGTCCGCCGCCAATTAGTTTCAACGACTTTGGTGCGCACATTTACCGTCTAAACTCGGAGGCCGCCTTATTGGATGAATTTCAGGTATCTTGCAGTTACATTTTTTGGCGTACTTTTTAATGCACGAAAAATGAATTCACCGACACTGAACCAGTAAACGGTACCTTCTTCAGTTTTCTCTGTTACATAAACTTTTAGGCACTGGATGTGCTTACAACGCAACAGGCTGTTGACTATGGGCTGACCGCCGCCATGGCCACCGTGGAGACAGATCTGAACCGGTATGCGGACATGACGCCCTGTAAGTTCACTTACTGGTCTGACTAGGATGATTTTATTCACAATACAGTCGCCTGGCCTGCTCATGGTAGACTACGAATGCCTAATCGACGGTGATCGTACTTCCGGTTGGAAAGTTGGAAGACAATTATGGAGAACACGGTAACAGTTTGGTATAGTGCTCATTACGGAAACCAAGCACCCAGAATTCTATAATGCAGGACCAGCGCATGGATGAAAATAAAATAAATATCAAACACAAACAAAAAAATAGTAGATAAAACGGCAACAGGAGCTTATGTAGGCCCC